GCTTCTAAGGGTCATGTGACCCTCCATGACACCTCTACTGATAATGGGGACTAAAGGAAACCTATATTTTCTGCAATGGTAGCTGACATATTTTGCTAAGGTATCCCAAAGAATATATAAAATGATTAGGAACAAAAAGAGATAAGAAAATAAGAGGAAAGAGTATGAAGAGATATCATCAATAGACGTAGAGGAGTAGTGATTGGAAAGGTGTGCTGTTTGGATGAGAACGGAAAGTGACTAAAACAGGTAGGGACTTCAGAACTTCATCTATGGTGAAACTATACATTTCATCATGTCTCCGGGAATCATGCCGGTTCCTGTTAAAGTCTTGAAAAGCAATGTTGGAATGCTGAAGTTGCCTTCCCCTGGGCTAAACTATATAATAATCTTTCTTGAAAAGGTGGGATTTTTGAGAGTGTTTTAATCATTTACTCTTAACAGAAAGTCTGATACAGAATATAAGTGTCTTTATCCAAGGACACATCTCCATCTAATTATCTGACCAAGAGTACCGTACCTGAGCGTTCCACTGTATGCACTAGCTAGGAAGAGACCAGGGATTCCAGGATAATGTTCAAATATTTCCAGCACCATGAATGGGATGTACTTGAAGGAAAAAGCACAGGAGAGGAAGAGCGGTTTTATTATATGATACAGTCTCATAGATAGATCTGCATGAAGGAATATAAATGGGTTTTTAAATGTATTTTAACCCAAGAACAAAGATATTTTGTTAAAATTTTTTTATTTTTTTATTTTATTCTTTTTCATGTGTAACTTTAAATTTTTTTGGGGGAAACGTTATTTTTTTTTCCTATTTTTTGTTCTTCACTTAACTTTATTGCTAAACCCCCTTATGTGATAGCAAAAGAAGTGACAGGTCCTCTTTATGGAGACATCAGGGGTCTCCAAGACCCCTAATGTCATCTAGGATCCCCCTGAAGAAGCTGATGAAGCAGAGATCTGCTTCATCAGCTTTTCTCCAGCATCTGAAGCTGGAGAGTGACACAAGAATGCGAAAGTGATGTAATATACATCACTTCCGCATTCTGACAGCGGAGAGGGGACCGGGGGGAGGTTGTGTACCGATCTCCCTCTGATCCCCTGTCAGAGTGGCACTATGCTGGTCCCGGGCTCACACCGGGCACAGCGGAGCCCAGGACTAGCGGGAGGGGGGGAGCCGTGGAGGGGGGTGCACGTACCGGGACCTCATACAAGCGATCCCGCCGACTTTATAGCTGGCGGATAGCTGCCTGTTTTAAAAAATCGGGCATTTCCCGCTCACGCGCGCCTCAGATCTAGAGATGGTGATCTCCTGGGTCCTTAGAACCCTAGAACCCGGGGGAGCCCGGGGGAGAAAAAGCTGTCTGGACTGGTCATATCTTTTTTATTTTAGACCCTAGACCAAAACAAGCACTTAACCCTTACAGTGCTGGTGTAACCCCAGTGCAAGGGTTAATTTCCAGACCAGCAGTGCAACAGTTTTTTTTCTCCGATCCAGGAAAACTTACTATTCCTACATTATCCTTCAGCATGTTAACCCTTTTATGTAGCCTTTCATGTGAATTTTTCTTCTCGGTCTAGCTTTTAAGTAAGAGGGAAATATTGGCTATGGCCTCCTTTCAATCTCCCAACATTCTTCATCCTTTCTTTTATCGTAAAAATGCCTTTTTTGGAATTAAGTTTTGGGGGAATCTTAATAGAGAGATTGGACGCACATGGGGTTCCTTTTTTTTTTTTTTTTTACATTGGAACGTACATAAAAGAGGGGGTAGGGAATACAAAATGGGAGAAAGACTACATATTTTTGCTAAAGACAAATGTTGATGCATCTCTCTCTCGCCTTCTCTCTTTTTCTTCCTCTCTCTAAAATACTTTTTTTTATAGAACAATTGTCACATTACTTTATCTCATAGCGAAATGGCAGGTTGGTGGTGACTAGGTAAAAGACCAGCAACAGGTGGTGGCACTTTGGCAATGGACACATTTTTTTTGAATATCATCTTCTAGACACATGAGGTGGGAAGTCTGATGTCCTTTTCAGTTTATGAGGCTACCAGCCATGCTAAATATGATCTTAGAAAGGATGCTGGAGTTTAAAGAGCACCTGTAAAAATATTGGCAACATGGGCCAATTCAAACTGCTGGTCAATTCCAACTGCTGGTCAATAAACTAAATTACACCTTTGTAGAGTGGTTCATGAAATGAGACGCATGAACAAGAATTCGAAAGTGTAAGAAAATAAGCTTTCTTTAAAACAAAAAAGCTTTGTTTGATTATTTTGTTTGTTTATTATTTAACCAACAAATCATCTAGGCAGGATCATAACTACGGTTAATAGTTTCCCAATGCAGTACTGAGCACTGGTAGATTGCAGCCTATACCGCACTCCCAATAATATCCATTTACATTAGTGGTCAGTGGTGGTATGCCTCTCTCCTAGTACATTTTCATTTACAATGGTGGTCAGTGGTCTTATGCCATCTTAAAAAAACAAAAAACTCCTTTCATTTACATTGGTAACAAAATGTGACAAATGTCACCAGGCATAAAGCTATCTGTTTATATGTTACATACAAGCACAATCTTTTAAATTGTTTACTGATTGCAGAGATGGCCTACAACATGCCCTTCCAAATGACTAATAGTGATAAATGATAAATATCCACCTTTATCATAGTTTCTAAGTGTCCTGGATCTTCAGAGACAGTGCCGGGATTTGGAGCAAGTGTACAGTGTTTTGGGAGGAGGAGTTAATTATTACTCCCACTGACCACCAATTAAAAGGGGGTCAATTCTTACTGCCACTGACCACCAATGAAAAAGGGGGTAATATTATGGCCACTGACCACCAATGATGGGGAATATTTTTGCTCCCACTGACACCGATGTTGGGGGTTACTATTAATGCCACTGACACGAGCGATGGGAAGTTTTAGAATGTTTGTAAATGCTGTCTATGTTCATACCATAACTATACATACTGTATATGTATTTTAATGACTGTGATATAAATACCCATATGAAAATAATCTGCCAAATCAAGTATTTAATTATTCCTAACAGTAAAACTTGCTGCGTGTTAAAGTAGAGCTTATTTTTGGAAATAGCAAAAGCAATTTTAACAAGACAAATAGATGACTAGATAACTACCTGGTCGGGGGCAGAGACATAGCCAGCCAGTAAAGGGTCACAGTTTAAGTAAAGTGCGAACATTACTATTCCACAGATGACCGCACATGACACAATGACGCACAGGGCCACTTGATTCACTAGGATCGCTCTGTAAGAAAAAAGGAACTCTTGAGAATCCATCCAACCAAAAACGGTAAGCAGGGGCTAGAGGGTCAAGTTTTTAAAAATTTTAAAACTGATTATAAATAACGAGCTTCTGTTAATGGGTACACAGAACAAGCCTACAGTATAGTAATGGCATGATATAGCTTAAGACAATATCTGTGTTCAAGCTTAGAACTGACAGGAGGTAAAGCTGAACATCATTCCATGAGGCATAAAGCAGGCTGCTAGCAAAAAACACGAGATGTGTGAAATGATTTGATAACTCAGAAGGTAGAATAAACGTCATGAGAAGAATTAGAACCTTGTTCCATTCCTCCAAACTATATTAAGCAGTCTATTGCTGTGTGCAGACAGCTTTTGCAAAAAGATTATTCACCATAACCAGGTATACACCCACTCTACACACAATTTGGCCCCATACGCCACAAATGTGGTGCACAGCAAAAGCCCTCTGCTTGGGGCTTATCAAGCCAGGCAGATTTGGCAGGGCCACCCACAGCTTGAATTTCAGTCAATTCAGCAATTATCGGGTGGAATTTGCGTCATGTATGGCTGGCTACCTTAAAGATATTACATTGTGTAGATAAAGGACACCCTATGTTAAAGCATATGTAAACACAAAAATGTAATATATTGCATCTTACTAGTGCTTAGATGAGGTAGCTGCATTAGTTTCTTTTTTTTTCCAGGTTTTTTCCAAATTATTTTCACCTGGTGATTCTTGGGTGACTACATTCACTCCTCTACTGTATCCTGCATATTGGCAAGTAAGCAGACAGAGGAGAAATAACTTTTTGCTTGGGGAGTGTAGTGGTAAAGAGGGAGGAATTTTCCTTAGGCTGGGTTCACACCTGGGCGTTTTTCCGCGCTTTCGTACTCGCGGAAAAACGCTCAAACAGGGAAATGCCATTATTTTCAATGTGCATGGTTCCCATCTGGGCGGTTTTCCGTGAGTACGAACGCGTGGGAAACCACCCTACGCCCAAAGAAGTACATGTACTTCTTTGGGGCGTTTTGGTCGGGCGTTTCCATTGGGATACAGCCAAGTAGCCCTCGGAAACGCGTGTTTTTCGCACGTTTTTTACCGCGAATCGCGGTAAAAAAACGCGCATATTCAATATGCCTAGCTGTGAACCCAGCCTTAGGGAGAGGGTGGTGGAAAGTAGGGAAAACATTTTTGATTGGGAGAGAAAGGGAGGGATTTATGCTTGGGTGGGTAGCTGGGGCCAGTACTCTTGAATGCTGCACTTTATACACAGGGCTGTACATTAAATACGCCATTTAAAACATGTGTTAAATTCTCCCGACCACTAAACTTTATATACTTGGCTGTATGTTACATACCTATGGCCTCTGCACTTCCTAGGCTGTGCTGTATATTGCATAGGCCTGACCCCTGACTTTGTACACTGGGCTGTATAATACACACTCCTGACCCATGCACTCTGCACTCTGCACTCTGCACATTGCATAATCTTGTCCCAATGTCCTGGTGGACATTTATTAAAGGAGAACACATTCACATATCACCGCCATAGCAACCAACTACCAATAATGCACTTCCAGGGAGATGAACTTAGGTCAGGTGGCTTAGAATGGCCAATAATAAGAGCATTGTAAAATGCCAGCCCCTTACTATAAAAACGCAGAGTTTCCAGCAGCCATATAGACATTGTAATAAACAAAAATATTCACGCTGTTGGCTTTTCCACCCTTCAAAATTACAAAAATAGCGACAGCTGCAGTGAAAAAAACAAGAAGTGAAAAAAACACCCCTGGGCAAACAATAAACTCTTTTCCCCAAACCCTAAAATTCTAAATAATGAATCGATGTTCAAATAAAACAAAAAAATGTGTATATCAAAGTGTCCACAAATTACTGATTAAAAATCTCAGACAAGAATAAATATGTTGGCTACCAGTGTGAGTAAAAGCTCTATTAAGAACTCAAACAAAGACACATGCACCATTGCAAATTCATCACCATACTAATGTATATAACATAGTGAATAAGTAAGTGATCTAAACAAAAGTGAATTGTATAAGCATTTATATAAATAAAAGAGCAAGTTGTTCTCAAATCACTTAATAAATAACCAAGAGGAAATAATTCTGAAAGTTCATTTAAGTGAAACTGTCCAAAAGATATCAATGCTTTCCCGTGCTCCACCTTCATGTGATGAAACAAATCTTTAAACACTCACCAGATCCCCCAGATGAGAAAGCATGCAAGGAACTCTTTCTTTTAGTGGATTGAGAGAGTTTTTTGGATCGATCTGTATCTAGCGTGTTGTTTTTATCTTTTTATAACTTCCTTTTTATTTTGCGCTAATTAAATGTTTCAAAGATTTTATATTATGTGCCTTTTATTCTTTCATTTTGGGATATTCTACCTTGGATCCTTTTGGGAGCAAGGGCAGACTGACCATACGGGCAGTCGGGCATTGCCCGAGGGCCCGCGGCCAAAGAGGGGGCCGGTCACCAACCCCCGTGCCCTTTTCAGCCCGCATGGAAGAGGGCGCGGGTTTATTAAAGCAGCAGCACTGCAGTGTCGCCAGCCTCCCGGGCCCACTATACACTGCCGTTGCCGCTTTAGCAGAGCAGCATCTCTTACAGCGGCGCGGCCGAGAAGAGCTCCGAGGTGGGGGTGTGCCGCAGTGGATGGGGGCGTGTCACAGTAGACGGAGGGCGGACCTACCGCGGAGGGCGGTTGGAGGCACGAGATCCTCATGCTAGGGGGTACCCACTGAGCCCTGAAGGTGGTAAGTGAATTTAATGACTTTTTTTTTAGCTGTAAACTGTTAACCTTTTAGTCTCCATTCACATACAGGATACAGCATTTGCGCTTCCCGTGCGGTTCTTAATGTGGTAGCACGCATGGGAAGCAAACGCTATATGTGAACTGCATGGATTCCGCTAGTTTGTGAACATGCGGAATCCGCTGGATTATTGCGCTTGCAGTATTTTGGGGGTTGCGCGGGTTAAAGCTCCACTCACACTAGAGCGGCTGTCCGAATACGAGCGGAGCCGTTCTAAACAGAAAAAACAATGCACTTTTATGTGCTTTATCAGACTATTGTCCCCCAAAATAGTGCAATCGCGATAATCCAGCGGATTCTGCATGTTCGCAGCTATATAATCGCTGCAAACGAACGGAATCCGTGCAGTTGCTTCACATATAGCGTTTGCGTCCCGTGCGCAAACGCCATGGGGGTTATTCACCGAGTGAATAACGGAGCCGAAGTGAAGTGAGCTGAACGCTGTTCGGCTATTCACTTCAGCCTTGTACAGCTGATTTCAGCCTGCCTGGCCTGTGTGCACAAATTTGTACAACACACAATCCTGTTTATCCGTTTGCATCAACTGAGTTAGCTCCTCAACTGTCAACACCTGAGCTAAATTTTTTCTAATGAATTTTTTCACCCACTCCTCTATTAAGGTGCCCATACACTGCCCATTCAGCATGGCGGGCTTGCGATGATCGCAAGTACGATCTGCCTGTCCAAGATGGGCAGATCATACGTTTTTTTAATTACTTTACAATATGGCAAGACTAAGGTCTTGCCATGGTTGTAAAGTGTATGGCCACCTTCAGGGGCGGACTGGGCCGGGGGGCAGGATGGCAATTGCCCCCCGGGCCTCTCTCATGCCACCGCGAACGGCCCCTTTACCCCCGCTACCACCTGCACCTGGCCGGCCATCTGCCGCATCCAACGCGGCTCTGTGATCAGTGCGGCCGCTGCTCCTCAAGGAGGTGCTCGGGAGGCCCCAGCAGGTGGGCCCTATAACATGCATGTCTACCTGGTACAGCCAGCCTGGATCGCCTCGGTATGCGATCCGGGCTGGCTGGATCAGGCTGCTGCTGCCAGACCCGCCCGCATCCACACGCCGCACCTCCTCGCCGCCTCACGCGCACCACCCACATCCATGATTGGCACAGGGACGCGGGGAGAAGAAGTAAGGAGGAGCAGGCATGAGGGGATGACAGCCGCCGACAGACAGTCCCGATCTCAGAAGCAAGTTGCTGGAAGATTGCTCAGGTAAGCCTTCCCCTCCCCCCAGACATGGTGCTCTATAATATATTGCTGGGATAGTGGGATTTGTATTCCTCTATAGCTGACGGTATATTGCACTGTATCTTATACCATCAGTTATAGAGGAATACAAATTCCAGCAATACATAATACACTGTATGTATAATGTATTGCTGGGATTTGTTGTACTCCTATATAGCTGGTGGTATTCTGCATTGCGCTGTATAGGGGACTACAAATCCCAGCAATAATACATTATACAGCGCAATGCAGAATTCCACTAGCTATAATATACTATTGCTGGGACTTGTAGTCCTCCATAGTTGGTGGTATTCTGCATTGTGGTGTATAATGTATTATTGCTGGGATTTGTAGTCCCCTATACAGCGCAATGCAGAATACCACCAGCTATAGAGGACTACAAATCCCAGCAATACATTATACAGCGCAATGCTGAATTCCGCCAGCTATAATGTACTATTGCTGGGATTTGTAGTCCTCTATAGTTGGTGGTATTCTGCATTGCGCCATTGGTCCAAGCTGTCGAATCAAAAAAAAGGAAAAAAACCCAGTGAGGACATCGATCTCGATGCCTCACCCATGATGAGCAAGTGAGGGACAGGGAGGCTCCTCCCCAACTCCTCCCTTCCCCCTCCCCACACAGTTTGGTTATCGAGCTGTGGACGGGGCTTTGGTGGGATGGGGCGGGACTTCGACGGACGGAGCTTTGGTAGGCTGGGGGATGCCTCATCCAGCACAGAAGGCACGGCACGTCACTGCCTTACACTACTTAGAACAGGAGGTGTTACAGTATTGCTTTGAGAAGTTTATTATGGGCTTAGCAAGTAGAGGCTGAAAGACTCGGCAATATTTCCTGCACCTCTTAAAAACACACCTATGTTTTGCTTTATGTGTAGTCTACTTATTCTTTTGTAATGCTTACTTTTTTATTTTTTGAATAATCCAATAAAAATCTTACTTAGCTTTTCTATTCTTTGTAATGTTAATAGGGCGCTGGGAAGATATGGTTAACATCAATAACCCTGTCTTTACTATCCTAGCAGATCTTCATTATCAGTTGTAAACTAGATGTGCACTCTGATTGTCCTAACACAGGGTTAAAAATATCAAGGTCTGGGTGGCACATTGTATTTTAATACACATTAAAAAATGTCCCTGAAGGGTGCTTATAGTGTATTGTTCAGCAAGTTATTCTGAACAATTCAACCTGTAGAGTCCTGTGTATAATCCGGCTCTAAAGAAACAACTAGAAAAGTAAGAAGTATTTTCTTTTAATCATTTTTGGTATGCCGTGTGAATGGAAACAAACACATAGTGGGAGGTTCTCAAATTTGGCTGCAAGGGTGGATATACTTTAAAACTAGCAGAATAGGAATAAATAATTAAATTGCTATCGCTTGTCAAACTTTCTTTGTATGTTCTTCTGCACCTATACAAATATATTCCATTTCCCTTTGACAGTTAAATATTAGTTGTAAGGTCCTGTATCTATGTTGATAAGATGGTAAAATATGTACATAGAATTCTGTGCAGAAAGTGATAAAAACATTTTCTAATCTAGTTTATGACTGTTTTATGAAGAATCACAAAATGGGGTGAAAAGATTTAGTGTGTATAGACTAGCAAAAAGGAGATTGCCATGCCTATGAAATTATAGACAGACAAAAACGAAATCAAAAGAGATAGTTCAAGAAAGTAAATCCCAACTCACAATTTTGCTTGCCCTTCGGTTTTACAGGATATATAGCGCTGAACTTGTGCTTGATGAACCCCATACATTGACAGCCACAGGAATGTGCTTCCAAATAAAAAGGTCCAGAAAGTGTAGCGCCTTCGGGGATCTGGATCAAAGCTGAAATAGAAAGTACATTTATTCCACTGAGAGAAGTATACTTAATTAATTATGGCTTTGATTTGACTTATTTGTGCCTTAGTTTCTGGTATTTTAAAAAATATCTAGCAGAAAAGATCCACAAGGGTGAAGAGTTTGGAGAAGCCACTAGAAGTGAACAATCGAGGGCCGTGGTTCTCAACTGGTGGGTTGTGAGCCAAAAGTGAGTCGTGACCACTTCAGTGGGTTGCCGTGTACCTTTCACTGCGCTAGGTGAGAGGCTTCTCAGTCTCCACTAGAGCAGCACTGTCAGTTCTCGCACCGAGCAGCCATTCAAAATATGCTGCCTGGCACCTAGAATCAGCTTGAGGTGGGGTGGGCTGGGCTGGGGGTATGGCCGCGAGGGAGCTCCATCCATACGTGCATTGCTTACAGCTCCTTTACGTTCCATGTAAAGGTGCCTGGAGTGACGTCACATTCTGGTTTACGACACCTCTACAGGGCACGCACGGGAGCTGTGCAAGCAATGTACATATGGATGGAGCTCCATCACAGCAAAGCAACTCACACTGGACCCAAGGCTGGGGATCCACTCCAGTTCTCGTAAGGTAGGGAGACTGGGTCTCCCTACCTTAAAAGAAAAAAAATGTACAATTTTTTTTGGCTTGTCTGTGAGTGTGTGAGATTGTGTCTGTGGTTGTGGTTTTTAAATGTGCCCTTTCACACTAGTACAGTGCGTTAATCATAGAGTCCTGTGTGAATAATGCACTGTACCATGCAATCACACCTACCACGCGTTCTGGTGTGGGAGGTGCGTCGCGCTGCCATTCATTTGAATGGCACCCCAAACACTCCTCCTGGTAGTTGGACGCGACAGTTGGATCCCCCTCACCAGGTTGACCATTCTCAAATGTGGGTCATGAGGTTACACAGGTTGAGAATAGGGCAACATAGCTGGAGTGGAAAGTGAGCTGAAGTGGCTATTTTGCCCTAGATTGTTCACTTCTACTACCTTCTCCAAACTATTCACTCTTTTGTGAAAAACCCTGCTAATTTCTCTCTACCCTGGTCACAGCAGCAGAGTGTTTACTCATGGGCTGGTACAGCTACACTATATTAGGTCAGTGGCCTAAAGTGGAGATGCTGTCCCCTAATTAGACCTCAATTGGAATGTCAACCACAGCCTTTGCTCTGAGATGTCATATGATCCAATACACTAGGTTGTGGCACCCTCTTCTCTCTCTTCTCTCTCTTTTTCTCTATTTATACCTGATTGGGTGGAAATGTTCTTTTGGAAGAAAGGAAGAATCCAGTTGGAGAGCTGCTGATGTTGTGACAGCTTTCCTCCCACCCACCCTACCTTTGGATTATCTGGTTTGTCATGGTAGCGGGTTTGCGGTTTAGTTGGGGACCCATCTTAGGTGTGGTGTATTCTAGGTGGTATGGTCCACGGGTTGTGACCATGTAGTATTGACCGCTATGTGTCTGCAGTCAACATTTATTACCACCAAGGCAGTGTATTGCGGCTGGGGGGCCTAATTTAGGTGACTGATGCCACACACACAAGGTTTCAGGGTTGGTAATTATGGTGCCTTCAAGGACCTGGAAACCCTATTTTTCTCTGGTTGTGTTATTGTTCTGTGTTATTGCTCATTAGTATTATATATATTTTTGGTATTTAATAAATGAAATGCTGCTGTGGCCAATTGAACTACACCCAGGTCTGTGTTATTCAGGTGGAGTAGACTGGAGGTAGTTGGTGTTGTAGGGGAGGGGGGTCAGCAGTGACTGTTGCAAGGAGCAGGGTATCTCTGAAATAACCCAATCATGTATTAAAGGAAGAAGGATTGTTTGTGTGGAATGTATTTTATTTAGCTTTTTATTTAGGTTAGTCCATGTCATTTTCAGAGACATAATGTACAATTCAACAATGTATACTTTGTTTAGCATATACAGCAAGTATATTGACAAAAAGTGTCACAGTTACCCATTCCCTATAGGACAACACTCACTTTTCACCAATCCCACCAATTACTGTAGTGCCATGGTACAGTTTCTTTACTCCCAGGAAAGTGTCCCTACCATGAAAGGGCCAGTTTGTTGTCCTCGCCCTGCAGTCCAAAATATCTCAGTCCTACCGTGGCTCTAATGATGGAAATCTAGAAGTGTGAAAGCAGGACTTTAGCGTTGCCTAAGAATATGCTTGGGAAGCATATGAGTGAGTACATGTATCATATAAAATAGTCAGACTTTTGTCAAAGTATGTTAGTAAGGAGTATCAACATTGTATGACTATTAAACTACTTTTTTAACACATTCACCTAACCCAGCACCATTCTTTACTTTTACTCATGCTTGCAATGCATACTTACTCCCCAAAATTAATCCTGGAGTAGTTTCTTGCAGTATCCAATACTTTAGTGGCTCCGCCCACTAGCAAAACACCACGAATAATTATCGCAAGGAATCCAGAAATCATAACCAGCACCTGGAACACATCTGTCCAGATCACAGCTTTCATACCTCCCTATGGGGAAAATAAAAAAAAAATGGCAAAGGTTTAATATGTTAAATATGTTGTTTAGGCTAAGTTTGACAAATATCTAACTAGCTGATTATAAACTTATTGTACGGCACAGATGAGAGTTGCAGCTCTATAATCAATGCTACACTGCTCTCCAACTTTAGCAGACACCTCCTAGTGCACTTGGTATGTGTGATACCATACCATGTGCTTCCAGGAGTTTGTGCAGAGGATGGTAACATGCAAGAGAAAGGGTTTTTACCCAAAATGTAGCAACTGTTCTGTTACATGTCTTAGTTACTAGCTGTTTACAGGTATGCATTTAAAGATTAAATCAATTAGCTAATATTGATATAGGAATTAGGCCCTTTGTGCTGATCTTCATGGATTGTGGATGGTTATGCAAGGTGACCGTAGCCTCATAAATTATTATTATTATACAGGATTTGTACACTGAGTGGCCAGATTATTATGACCACCTGATGTTTGTAGGCAAATTAGCTATAATTTCATGCTGAAGTTGCTAGAGGGCCAGACCATTATAAATAGGAAAGCAGGTTGTTTACCACGACAGTAGAAGTGATTTTTTTCTGAAGATATAGGTAAACAACGCGATTTAACAGCCTTTGAACGTGGGATGATTGTTGGCGCTCAAGCCATGGAGCGAGTATCAGCAAAACAGCAGAATTTGTTAAATGTTCAAGAGCAGCTGTTGTTAAAGTTTTTAAAGACTGGAGTGTCAGCCCAAAATCTGGGTCTGAACGTGCGAATTGTGGCCGTCAGCGACTAGTCAATGTTAGGGCAGAACGGAGAGTGGCAAGACTGGTACAAGACAACAGAAGGGCAACAGTGAAGTGTCAGATTCCTCGCATAACCTTTCAACATCTCCTGGAGTCACGAGGCGGCCCAACGAAGTCATCTCGTGGAGTCATCTCGTGGCCCAACGAAGTACCGATGGGGTGGTCATGATAATCTGGCCACTCAGTGTATAGTGCCAACAGTTTGTGCAGTGCTTTACAAAACCAAGGGAGACAATACAATTAACAATACAATTTCAGTACAGGAGGTAGGAGGGCCCTGCTCGTGAGAGTGTACAATCTAGTAGGAGGGGCAAGTGACACAAAAGGTAATAACTGTTTGGGATAATTTAATGGAAGAATTGAAAGTACCAGTTCCAGAGGATAGGAGGTCTTGGAAGAGCGAAGGTGGCAGTTTGGGTGATATTTTGAGATGAGGTGAGTGATGTTGACTGGGGCGGAGTTGTAGATGGCTTTGTGGTTATTGTTAGTATTTGGAATTTTATACATTGGGAAAGTGGGAGCCAGTGGAGCGATTGGCAGAGGGGGGTGGAGGACACTGATCGGTTGGTAAGGTGGATGAGTCTGGCAGCAGCATTCATGATGCAGCCAAATTTGAGAATGCTCCTAATGTACCACCCAGTCCTTGAATCTTTAAAGCACTGTACAAACAGGAATGATTATGGTAAACATAACTCATCAGCCCCCTCATATAGAAAGGGACGGTAAGGTTTTATAGGATTTTTCAGGAAAAATGCTAAGTGGTAGTTTTTTTTTTTAACATTATGCTATGTGAATGGGAACATGTAACAAAGATAAAGTAGGTGTTATCCTAATATGACTGCCAAAAAGGAAATATGCTTTAAGGGCTACAGCTACATTCCAAATGAAAACAATGGAGCACTGCTAACCTTATGAGATCTCATGGACACTCGCTGTATTATATAATTCTATAAATCAATATTTCCTTTTAATGCGAAAACCCCCAAGCATGGCACCCTGGGATGTTTATGGGGTTTTTTTTGTGGCACATCAGAATAAATATTAATTTCATTAAATTGAAATATTTCCGGAAAAACTCATAGCATGTTGGAGTGCTGATGGGGCTCACACATATTTGCTTCCAAACCCTCTGGGGAAACCAATAGACTGAATGTGAATGTGACTTTGAACTTATGCTGGCTCAAGGAGCTTGCTCAAAATAGAATGTCAGTAAGTACAACATGAAAATTGTGGATTGGATGAGTATCCCTGAAACAGGTGTGGTGACACCACAGCAGGGGTGTAGTTGTAGGGTGTTAGTAAAAGTGTTGACTTTGTATTATATATAATTAGGGTCTGGAACAGCAAACTCTTTAACTCTTTGTGTGCTCATGGAATACACTGCAACTACAAGGAAACACAACACTCTTGTATCAATTGAAAATCAGTGTGTAATCTTTCATTAATCGGCATACAGCATACTGTATGTCTCATACAAAATATCAAATGCATTTGACCATACTTGCACTTAATTATAGAGCTATACCCGCAAGTATGTGTAAAATGTGTTAAAGGAGAACTATGAGGTCAGTGATTTTCACTCAACCTCATAGTTCGAGCCGACGTGTGACAATGAGACTGTCACGTCGGCTCAATAGATCGGGAAGTGAGCAAACACATACCGTCGCTCCCTCACTTCTCGATCATGTCCCTGCAGAGAGCCGTGACTGTCACTCACGCCTCCCTGCAGGGATTCCCCTCCTCCCTGCTCCGATCCTCCAGCGCTGACTGGCGGAACGGACGGGGGAGGGGGCCGGTCAATCACGCAGCTGGGTGGATCTCGACAGTAATGTCGGGATCCGTCCCAGCTGCGGCGGTTTTAGTATACCGCGAGCTATAGCTCACGGTTTACTGAGCTTTGGGTCATGGGAGGACGCTAGTTTGTGCCCTCCCGTGACCCTTAGGATAACTATGGGGAAAAACACTTACCCTATAGTTCTCCTTTAAAGATTTTTTTTCTGAGACATATGCTGTATGCCTATTAATGAATTAAAGACCATTTACTGATCTTCGATTGATACAGGTGTGTCACGTTTCCTTATACAGTAGTTACAGTGTATTTTGTGGCTAGTTGCGAGCTAGTGTGTGCACCCTATGAGCAGATCCATGTGGTCCAACCGGAAGAAGCACCTAATACATGGTCTTTGTGTGATCAGCCGGGATCTAGATTTTACAGAAGTGCCTTAATAATTAAAATCTTTATACTTTTGTTTTAATTATTTTATAACATTCATTATTATATTTTTCATATCATTGTTACTTCTTAGAATAAGGACTTTGGCTATTTTGGAATCTTTGGTTAGTTAATAAAGCACAGCTCGTTCCTACTGGTTTCTGTTTTTTAACATTTGTAGAAAAACACAAACTGCTTTTCCTCTGTATACATTTATTTTTTTCATACTTTAGACTGAATGACATTGAAAGCATGGTTTCAAAGATTGATTTAAAGCCAAATAAAGACCAGTTTATTATGAAATGTTATTGAGTGAAATGATTAATGTGTTAAAATTGTTGCAAAATGACAACGGGGATTTACATATTAATACCTACTTCCAAACAATTACCACTTTCTGCAAAATTTATATAAGTGAAACTGGTTTAAAAAGGCTAGTTTCTGTGTCAACATAATGTAAAGAGACTTTTTTTTTTAACTCACCAGGGTTGTATATAATGTACATATTGCTCCAGTTGAAAACAGAGATGCCCAAATGTCCAGCCCAGTTACTAACAGCAAAAAAGAATGTGAATGTTAAAATTTTATGCAACCATAGCTATCTGTATTCAGTTCAAGTACCAGCAAAATAACAACCTTGGTTCAGGATTAGTGCAGGAGCATAGATCACAATTCCAGTGTATAACATCTGTAGAGGGAAAGGAGCATAATATTAGAGCTTCATGTCTACTTGGACAATATATGTGTACAAGTGATAGGTGAGTACTTACAGTGCCCACAAGGAACTGGATAGTGCCACAGAGCTGAACACTTCTTGAAAACCTCATCGCCAAATACTGTGTGTAATTATGAGAAAATTATTATGCTGTGTCATGAAGGGAAAGATGACAAATTAATAAAAAATTGTGAATACCAGAGCAAAACATTTTGTACAACAAAAGGATAAAAACAATAAATAGAAAATATTTGATGAAATGTGGCAGTTACTTGGTAGGTGCTGGTGATCCCCAGCCTGTAGAACACTGGCATAAAGATGTAGGCGGTAATTAAGCTGTTTAATATCTGACCAAGGCACATCTGGAGGAACTTGGCGCCATAAAGATAGGTTTCAGCTGGAACTCCAAGCACTTGCACAGCAGACATAAAGCTGGCAGCGAGTGACAAACCGACTGGGACAGCTGACATACTCCTGCCTCCAGTAAAAAAGTCATCAGAGGTTTTCTGCCCGCCACGAAACAGAGAATAGAACAGTCCAATGCCTGTAGAACCCAATAGCATTGCTGCAAATACGCCATAATCCCAGAGAGAGAAAGTCAGCTTGTTATGCATGTAGGGCACATGATTTTCCATTAGATCTAAACATAATAAACACAAAATACAGTGTAAATGAAAAATATGTGTCTATTCAGAAGTAGTGCAGTCTGATGGAATATGGAAAAACTGTTTCTGCTTTCAAAAATTGAATAAAGCCTGAGAAAGGGACCTAAGTGGTCCTGAAAGCTTTCATCTTTAATAACTTAAAGTGACACTAAACTCAGGAGTTAAATCTTAAAAATAGGATCAAGGATTCTACCTATTAACAAAAATGTATCTTATTTGTGTATCACTCGGCTGTAGATCCTCAAATCATCTCTGAATTTGTGCTGACACTGTCTTTCCTTCTGGAGGATGACTACTTTTGTTCCCCATGGTCCCTGTGTGTGTTGTAAAGTAGCCACCGCTCTAAACTCACTCCCGTGATGGACTGCAATCTCACATTTAGTTTACTAATTTGTATTGAGATTGTAGTCCATCACGGGAGCGAGCTTGGAGTGGTGTCTACTTTACAACACACACAGGGACCATGGGGAACAAAAATAGTTACCATCCAGAAGGAAGGACAATGTCAGCACCAATTCAGAGATGATTTGAGGATCTACAGCTGAGCGATACACAAATCAGGTTAATAGTTAAGGTACCTGAATGCATTTTTATTTATCTCCTGAGTTTAGTGTCACTTTAAATCAGCCAATGAAAGGTATCACTTAAACTATAAAGTATCTGCATTGATCAAAGGCTAACACAGTATAAGACTCTACTACTGCTTTAAAAATCAGATAATGGTTTAAAGAAGTGATTTATATAAATACTACGCATATTCTTATTTTGTTTCCAACAAGGATGTTAGACTTTAACCCTATTACAAATCATTTGATAACATAGTAACATAAATGTTTATATATGATGTTAATTATTACTTAATTTTTTTGCTTTGCTAGTTTTTTATTGAAAAAAAGAATTAAAATAAAACTTTTAAGGTTTTTTTCTCCCGAGATGCAAGTAAATGGAAAGGGCTTTAAGCTAGGACTTACCTGAGATAGATTTCAGAGAGCTCCAGGAGACCTTTAGCTTGCTACTGAAAATTGACAGGCTAGGAGGAAGGGAGAAGGTGTTTTAAAGGATGAGAAAACATGGAAAGCAGAGGGAGGAGTCTGGACATCTTACAGCACTCCTGGGCTGCACAGCTATCTGAGCAGGTTAAACAGCTGCTTGTAATAACAATCCTGTCAAGTAATCTTAGAAAACACGTTTTGTTCACCTATGTATTTCACAATAGAGCATTTACATCCCAACATGCCATAAGCATTCAATTACAATTACCCAAATTATGTTTTATTACTTTATGGAGTGACAGGAAGCATTAATCATCATATTGTATTAAAATATTTTGACTGGGAATTTAAAAGGACTGTGCTACAAAAATAAATGCTAGAATTCCTCTAAAGAAGAAAATAAATACTTACCTTTCCCACTGCTCCTATTGCTAAACATTGCTCTGATAAAGAAAAATCATCCCCCTGAAGTGTTTGCAGAAATCAACACTTCAGGGAGTGTCAATCCCCTTTGTCCCCTGCTGTGCTCAGTGGTTCCTCCCACCAAACTCTATGGCACTACAGGAAGCAGTCATGATATAGAGGTTGGTGGGGGGGGGGGGGGGGGGGCATGCAA